GAAAATTAATAAGGACGTGTTTTAATTAAAAAAAGTCAAAACTGCTAACTATATAAACTTTCTACTGCTAAACATGGACTTTCTCTATAGACTGCACCCATACAAATATTAGGTCGTCGTTCTATTTAGAAGAGGAGAGGTGCGAGAGAAACATACAATGCGTTTACCTGTACATGGTTGCCATTCAAGAACCTTCCTTTTCTGCTGAATCTTCGAGCAGAAGCCGACCTGTTGATACTTAAACTTGTAAGAATCATGTTGGGTACATTGTTTCTACGCAGTTCTCCTTGTTTAGACTTAGTGTATATTATCATGCACTAAAATTCCGAGCTTCCCAAAATTACAAGCATTAGAAGCATTCTTATATGGCTAACATCATGCGAATATTTCAACAAGAGGTTTATCCAGGACAGGTAACGCGCGCGTAATGCCCCTGGTATTACAGGCGTTCACCGACTACGGTAACTGCTTACCATTAGGTGGGTAGGTGTTCTTGTTTGCCACCTCAGTGGTATAAAAAATCATGTTTAGATTCCTTAAGGTACATTGCTACGGTAAATACGATAAGACTTTTATTGAATTTATGGTATTTTCATGAATTAATTTCCAGATCTTTCAATTCCAATTCTTATTTATTTATTTACCCACAATGATAATTGTTCTTAATATGTATCTTTTTTTTTTAATAGATGATAATGGAATGATAACCCTGCCTGCGTAAACGGTATACATTGTCGGGGCACCGGTAATGGATGATAGGTGAGAATAAAAAGATCTGTTAGCCTATCGTGATGAATATACCTGGAATTCAGCACGACGGTTTACAGGGGGACCACAGGGAGGTCGACCTGACAGGATATATTGCTAGCAATGAAACTGCCAGCATTACTAACAATCATTCCCTTCCTGCCCCTAATGCGTATCTTCAACTAGCAGTATTTTGTATGATACTTCAACGGCTTCTTCATTCCTCACGGATGTCGTGCCAGCGTATACCCATAGTGCAGGCGGGTTCCACTTTCATTCATTAATGTTCTACGTCTTTGATTTCAGTAGCGCAACAACAACCACACTAGCGCCACACTAAGCATATCTTCTGCGGCAGATTGCCAAATCATATAACTGTTACTTGCGGTCGACATTGTTTGTGCGATCTGAAATTCTGCTTTTATAATCGGGTATAAGCATAGGTCCATTTAATTAGATTTAAATTAAACCATGTGGAGGTCGACCTGATAAGGTATATTGCTAGCAATAGAGCTGTAAAATCCCATTACTTACAATCCCTTTCCCCCCTTGTATGACAACTGTCAATACCATCTTTCACTTATTAGCAATATTGGGTATATCAGACTGATCTCTACCGTAAAAGCAAATTAATTACCAGAGGGAGAGTTTGTACAAAAGTCGTTGGGTACCTCTGTCCCATTCGTGTTTCAACCGTGAAGCAGTTGTGTTTGCATGGCTGTATTCGGTTTGAAGGGTGGGATATGGCAATGAATTTACAGGGTACAGAGGAATAACACCTGAGTCCTCAGGAATGGCAACGCATGGGGGTACATGGGCGAAACAGTATACTCTGTTATGCCCATGGTACTGCTCATGTCTATAGGCGACGGTTACCACTTTCCATCAGGTGGTCCGTAAGATTGTTTGCCATTCTAAGTTGCATAAAAAAAAGTTAGCCCGTAGTGACGAATTTCATTAGAATCGATATAATGATGAAATGATGATTGATGCCCAATGAAATGATTTGCTATTATTTTCTTATATCACCGCTTGCTGATCACCGGTAGTGTATGTATAAGCCAATCAGTCAGTTTCGTTCAAAGTAATTACGGTTACGTTATGAGGCTAAAGCAAAGGGGAAATAAGAAGAGAATAATGTACCTAAGGTGAAAATAGAACTATTTACAATTTCTTCCGCTATTATACTAGCCATAAATGTTTAGTGTTCCACTACTAAAAACAAAAAAAAAAAAAAAAAAAACAATGAACGATCCGCAAAATATAAGAATGCGATGAATGAGACATTAGCTTATATCACGCTTACCTATATATCTTTGAACTAGTTATGCATCTGTTCAGAATCGCTCTTACAAATATCTTTTTATCAATATTCGTATTTTTTATTGTGTATACCTATAATTACCAATATCACCTATAATTTATATATTTATTCTTTAGTACAAAATATGTGTACAGGGTGGATTTAATGCTAAAAGCATTCTCTCCCAGTAAATTTAAGGGAAGTGTGAGAATGCTCGAATGCGATTCTAGTCTCTCTTTTCATTTAAGTTTCCTCTTGTCGGTGCAACTAATTCATGCATCTTCTTCCAGCCAGTTCTATCCCAGCCATATCCTTGACCTCCCTATACGACATGACACCTAGTGTTTCCTTTATCTGTCCCATGTAGTTATTCCTCGGTCTTCCTCTTTTTCTTTTGCCCTCTATTTTTTCTTGTACTATGCTCTTAAAAAAATCGTCATGTCGTATAAGGTGGCCCAGCATTTTGCCTCTTCTATTCTCTATTGTTTTAATTAATGTTCTTTATTTTTCGATTTTAGTATAAATTGATATGAATAGATACCTATTAAAATTTACATAGATACACAAATAAATATATATAAACAACAAATGTACTTGCACATATGTAAGATATAGTATATTATACACACGATGTGAATAGTACATAATACTTACCTACTGCTCGGATAAAGTATAAAAATTAACATGAACGTTTTTTTTTAATGACTTATCACCATTATCATCATCCAACAGTTCTGTTTTTTGTGTATGTATAATAAATATTATAAACAGACAAACATCTTACTGTCTAATAATCCTACAATGAATATAAAGTTTATAAAGATAGTAGATTGATTAAAATGTTAAATACATTTTGTATAATTCCGCTATTAGTACGTATGCGTGTTTGGTGACTACCAATATTTTGATATTGTGGACTGACGACTATTAGTTGAGGCCCTATATGACCTTCCCTAAATATAGCGGTAGCGGATTTAAACAGTGATATGGACTTCCGCAAAATAACATAAAATATTTGTAACGATGACTAGATCTTTGTTACTCAATCATAGGTAAGTCGACTTGAATGTTCGGTACCTAATAAAGTAACTACTAAGATGGACCACGTTACCTATTGTTACTTTTGTTTGACTCACAGATGTGGGATGCCTCAATTGTATCCAACTTGTCGTGTCAATTTCTACCCATAATTAGGCCCATTAGGTGCCTTTTTTGTATAGTTAAATTCAGAAAATTTATTTAAACTAACTTTTGCCTATGACTTCGTAACACACGGGCTTAGGAAGTAGGTAATAAAAAATATACCAGACCTTTGGGAACACAACTGTAAAAACCGTATCCGATTTGTGCAAACAAACAAAAATTCTAAAAAACATTGTTTTGACTTCTGCTCTATCAGTAAATTTGGCAGGGTGACTTTAAAAGACCTAATTTTTGTATTAGTATAATTTAGCTTTATCGCTTCAAAATACGGTAAATTAGTAATAATACATTTAATTTTCATACTACACAAGTATATTCAGGGTACTGGAGGTATGTAGTTTTGTTGGTGTTCTGTCGTAAATTCGTAACTTATGCGGATCACGTCACAGGTCTTACAAAAAGTTAGTCTCACAAAAATTTTTAATTTGTAAATTTGTAATATTATTTAAAAGTTTATTGCATAAAACTCAATACTCAATCATATTTATATGAATTTGAATAGCATTTTGTGGATACCTATTAAAATGTATACTCAAACTAAATATCTTTGCATAGAATTTTAGCTTTAGCTTTCTTCAGAACAATAATTTAATTTTAAGAATAATTTGATTAAATATAAACTAAAGGTCAATAATAATTTAATTTACAAAATTCAACTTTTTAAAAAGCAACAATCATATCAATTAAATTTCTTGTCCATTCTTCGCCTTCTTTAATAATGGCATTCCGAATGGCAAGTATAATCATAAAAATGATTTTTCAAAATGCCTAATAGGTATAAGTTTAGTTGAATAAAAAATATTTTTTGTTTCTTTCTTTTAGGTAATGAAAACTTTAAAACATATAAATGCTCAATTTTTACAGTTTAACAATAGATAAAAATTTAATAAGTATTTATTCTAAAGGTTCCGTCTTTCTCAAGCCAGTTTTAACCTCAGAGTACAAGTGTGCGTGACACCCGAGTGCAAGATTTAAGGGCGTAACCTACTTCATTAAAAACTTTTTAATCAAGTTTTTGAATGAAAAGCAAATTCAACTATTAGCAAATATCATTTTTACTTAACAGTTAGACTACGTAAAAAAGTGCATTCCTTGTGATCTAATAATTTTGACTTCTAGAAATTACTCCAATAACCTACTTACTTATTGCTTAAGTACCTTCCGGTTACCAGATTTTAAAAATTGTAATTTAAGTAATGACTGCACGCCTCATGCAAAAAACTATTGAATGTATTTTGATACAATTTATAATAATTTAGTTCTTGCGACAAAATAATTTTTACGGTATGATCGTATGGTGTCATACGAATCTTCATTCGTATGACTCAAATTTTATCCGGACTCGTCTAAGCACTGAATTTTTAAATTATTAATACAGGAAATTAATTTAAAAAAGCGCAACAAGGTATGATTCGCTTAGGTGCCATGGAAGAATCGACGGATCTCTAATAACCCTGCTTATGAACGAGGTCGAGCGAGATAGATAGTAGAAGCAAAATTAAATTACAGAATGTACTTTATCAGAAATAAAATAAAATAATCCAAAGTTTCGATGCAGCTAATGACTGTTAAAAATATATTATTTAAATTTTTTAATATATATCTGAACAAAACTTAAATTTTTTATTCACTTCCAATCATAGACATCACATAAAGTGTGTTCTCTTTCGTGTATGAATCCATTTTACGCATGTGTGAGCGAGCCCGAACGAAGAAAACCGATTGTAACCGAACGTCAGTCGAGCGGGGCGCGGTCGTCGTCACGGAGCGGAGTTGGCGCTTGTCATCCGGCCGCCATTATCTCGTATTTGAACCGATTGGTAAATCAATTAAAATTCGCGCTGTCGTTACGTGTTTTTAGTGTTGGATGTCGTACAATTTCGACAAAATTACCGAAGTGTGATTGTTTTTTCAGTAAAAAGTGTATTGCTGGTACATTTAAACAGTGTTAAGTGCTAACAGTTAGGTTACTGTGTTGGGTGTTAACATTGTGTAGGGTGGCTCCGGTCGGTCCGGAGCGGCAGGACGCGTGTGGAGCGCATGCAGAGGGAGCGGTGAGAGCGCGCCCGGCTGGGGAGTCGGGGCGGCCGGCGGTCAAGGAACAGAGACAATTGCCGACATGGGGTGCGCCCAGTCGGCAGAGGAACGCGCGGCTATTGCCCGCAGCCGTCAGATCGAGAGGAACCTGAAAGAGGATGGCATCCAGGCTTCCAAAGACATAAAGCTGTTGTTACTAGGTACGGGAGTAATGTGTAATGTCGGCGCATGGCCGCACCCCTCAGAACGTTTCCAAACGCTTTTACTGGCTTTACAATTTGAACCTAATTTTCCTATTGATATACTTATATTCCGGTACATGGAACATTATAGAAATTAATTATAGCATATCGTAATACGTTTGGCTTTCTCTTATTGAGTGTAATTATTATGCTGGTATGCACAATGTGTAAATAACGAACGAGTGTTCTGTGAGGTAGAAACTTTTTCTAATGCATATTTTAATAGGTAAAGTCTTCATTTTCGTTATATGGTTATATAATAAATTTTTATGGTACAGAAATTTATATCATCAATTTTAATACAGAAATACACATGCAATTACTGTGTGTCACAGTTGTGGCTAATGGCACAAGTCTAATGTGTCATGGGTAAAGAATTTCATAAAGGACTATGGGATTAGTTGTTATGGAGCACAAGTCATGCATATAGGTCTAACAAAGAAAAGTAACTATACTTAATTACTAATAGATTACATTTATTCATAGCTATCTGTGTCCCACACCTTTGCTTGATCCTTGCCATGTACTATGAGTATATGTTATATGTTAATTTAGTGTATACTACATTCTTTATCCAGCCATTTTAGTGTGATTTAATAACATATATATAAACATTTATAAACTCACATTTGTAATAAATGTATGAGTTTCCCCTTATGGTTGTAGGTGATAGCTACCTAAAGTTAGATTAATAATATAAGATGATAGTCAATGAAAACAATTTGTGATTAATTTGTAATGAATCACTTTAATATCCATCATACAGACTAACCACATTGTCACACACACACATTGATATATTCTTCATAATTCTTATACCACAGAATATTGTAAATAAAATTTAGGAATGAAAGAAGTTAGAATTACTTAACACAGAAGTGATCGGACCAATTTAAGATACCTGCATACTCTATTAAGCTTAAATATAATTTATTTTTTTAAAAAAACAACAGTAAATGTTAAAAATCTAGTTCAAAATTAATTTTTACAGCAAATGGTCCTCTGAAATATATTAATTCATCATGAAAATTATGGTGACCAGATGTTCAGTTACACAAATAGCTGAGTTTTGTATAAATGAATACAAAGTCAAGATCAAGGTAGTGCATTCACTTCAAATATAACTAAACACCTGGTAGCTGTTTATAAAATAAATAATAATTTTATGAATTAATTTTTATTGAGTTATTTTGAACATTATAATATTATGCAATAATTAAAGTTTATAATTCTGCAATGTAATATCTGTGTATGATATTTCCATTATTACTCTAAAAATGTAAATTAATGTCTATTTGTAGACAAATTTAGTTAAATTCAAATTAAATTGTAATTTAATGTTAAATTAAATTGCAATAGAGATTTACTTGCATCAATATACATATTTCGTTTTTACAAAGTTAGTTTTGTTATTGTGGTACTATAATAATAATAAACAAAATACTGAGTAGTAAGACCAATTGAGTCATTGGTAAATTCATTGATTATGAATCACTCTCATGTCACAAAAAATGTTTATTATTTGCATTACCAGAGTCGAATTAGCTTCAAAATACATATTTTTTTTATCACATTTAACAAACCAGCATTATAGGATACTAGAATATTACATTATTAATAGACATTATGATATTTATAATATATGTTCATTGCATAACATAAACATTAAAAAATAGAGAAAAAAATTATCTCTGATTAAAAAGTGAAATGTTAAAGTTTCCATAGTAATATTTACACTCATTAATTCAGGGATGATTTTCCAAAAATACTGACTGTATAGTGGGTGTTGTCTCAGAAGGCTGAACATTTTAAATGTTCTATTTCTAATTAAAAAAAAAATCAAGGCTTATTACATTAAACATGAATAAAGTGATCAATTAAATTAACTAGGTTTATCATCAGATAAACTATCAAATTTAAATAATTTTACAAGAATTGTAAAGTGTGCATTAGATACCAAGATTGTTACATAGCATGTAACATGGTGCTATTGTACTCTTATAATATTTAGTAGTTTGAATTCACACACACTTATAACTAGTAACTTGCTTTTGTTTTAAAATAATTGAGTTTCTTGCCTATTATTCTTAGCTGATTGTTGCATTCCAAATTGTGTCAAAATCATAAAAAAAAAATTAAAAATTAACTTAAAATGAAATTTACTTAAATAAAAACTATTTCTATATTTTAAAAGCCTTAAAACTCAACTCAAATTTCAGTGAGGGTCTTCATTTTCTATCTGGTTACTTAGTCAACTCTTTTTATATTCCTTACTAATATTATAAATGTAAAAGTGAATTTCTTTGTTTCTTACATTATAGCACCTAAACCATCTTAACCAATCACTATGAAATTTGTTATATACATACCATATGGAATGGAAAAGCTTGTAGGCTAATTTTTTAATTATAGTTAGTGAACATATCTCAGTCACATGGACGAAGTTGCAGATAAAAGCTAATATTATAAAGATCAGTTATTTACTCAGTACATTTAACAAAGCGCTCAGTACTGACAATATGACATTGTTATTGGCCAATACCATATACATAGGTCACTTGAGACTTAATGAGGACTATAACTGTGACTAACCTAATGTTGGTGTATGCTGTTCATGTAGTGTATTGTCATATCAATCATAGGCACTATGCCTATTGCTGAACATTGTTCAGTTTGAAATTTGAATAGATTTTAGATGTTTTGATTGTTTGTTAAATATTTTATAAAAAGGTCTACATATTTAAGTTATAATCAGAGATATAATTATTTATGATATGTATGTTGCTAATTTATAACTTAATTTCTGTAATGGACTTTATTTATAATTATAGACAAAAGTAAATAATATATTTTTTGGGGGACAAACTTTGATTAAATATCTAATAATGTTAGTTTCGCTATCACACAAAAGAGTGTTAACAAATATATCATATTTATCATTTTTGGATACATTTAAATTACAGGATATGGAGGCATACCTTATTCCTTATAAACAGCAACTTATGAGACATGTCATGGGTGTCACAGTATATTCTGTAACATCCAAGATGGTTCATGTCTGCCTGCAGATAACAGTATTTTCCATTCCAGTTATATAATAAATATATTTTTCTAGCTTTTTGCCTGGTACTAAATGGACTCCTAAACTGGTATATGTTTAATCTTAATACACCATGTACCACATACACCAGTTCTTTAGTTTCACAGGATTACAACTATGAAAAACACATTATTTTTTCGTGATGATAACAAACATACAGACAGACAGACAACATTTATAGTAATTATTCGATTATGTCCCCCAAAAACTGACTTCAACTGTGATAAAACCAGTTATCTTGATCTAAAAACTAAAATATTGAACCGATTTTGATAAAACTTACAATGGTACCAATCTGTGAGTATATATTCTTTCAAATAAAAAAATAACTTTTTATATCAGTTTCAATCCAATGAAGTTATGAAGTGTAAAAAAATATAACCAAATTGAGAAACTTCTTTTTGAAGTCAGTTGAAATTTTTTGTTTGGACATCTTTTGAAACATTAATATGAGGGGTCTTTATCCTTATTAAGACCTAATTTTATTAAATATCTTCCATGTACAGTATTATTAAGATAATTAATGAATTCCAATTCCGCAAGTTGATCCCAGCTGTTATCATATGACTAAAGTGATAGCGGGTAAAAATGTAGCTGGAAATGTTTCTGATTACCAATGCATGGAATTTGACAAATATAAACAAAAAAGTAGCTTGTGCCCTTCTCCATTTCAGTTAGTATATGCATGCCAAAGTCGTGACGATTAGTTGAGCAAGTTAGTGTCAAAATATACATACAAATTCATTTTTACATTTATAACATTAGTAAAGGTTACTTTTTTTATAAATTGATTCGATTGGAATGGAAAAACACAACCCCACCACAGCATTCACCAATGCTATATAAGTGCTTCAGGTATATTGTCGTGAATGCATTTCGAATGCAATGCTCTTTAATTTCAGTCTAGATCTAATGTTCTATTTATTTTCTGTTTTTACCTAATGGTTAGCTGGTGGAGAACGCCATATGGCATTAAGCTCGCCATTTGTACAAAGTTTTATTGTGCAATAAAGAATAAATAAATGTTATCTCTTGTTTGTATGCACTAGGCAGGTTTTTCAATAATTCTTTATCAATTGATTGTCTGAATATTTGACTATTTTTCCATTGCTCTTCTATATGTGACTTAATACTGTTATCTCCTATTGTTTGATCTTTTGGAGATAAACATTATCCTAGATAATGCGTAAGCGTTTGCGTATTTTACTCGTATTGACTGGTCACGGTTACTTCGTGTAGAATATATGTACGAAATAATAATCTAAATCAGGTAAATTTTACTCCTTTAGGAATAGTGAAATAGTGTGTCCATAAGTAGATTTTGTAAAAATATCAATTGCTTTAAGCGTTAAAAACAATACGGAAGTTAACCCTGTCGATTGCATATTGGCATCATATAATTATCGCGTAAAATAAAATACAGACGAATTGAGAAATTTCTCGTTTTGAAAGTCGCTTAAAATAGAGAGAAAATTTATCCAATTCCTGAATAGATTGCAAATTTAATTAAAATGTATTATTTTTAAAATTAAGTTATCTTTTAAAATTATACCATTTATGATAGAATCGTGCGATAATTAAATCATCTACACGTAAAATTCTACAATGGGAGACTTATTAGTAAACCTTCTTTAAGTAACTACTTGTTTGATTAATGCCACATTACTGTGATATTTTTTTAATGAAATAAGTTATTTAAAATATTATAAACAAAAGTGATTAAAGTAAGACAATACAAAATCAATTCACATAAAAATCTTTCTATTCTAACCATTTGTTTATTTTATATACTGTTATTTCAATAAAGACATTTCATTGTTTTTCTAAATATGCCAATTATATAATTTTTTTTTTTTAT